TGGACTGGTACCCTGGTCAGGGTGTCCCCTGTCTCATGGCCTGTGATGGACTGGTACCCTGGTCAGGGTGTCCCCTGTCTCATGGCCTGTGATGGACTGGTACCCTGGTCAGGGTGTCCCCCTCCCCTGTGCACCACCCTGCCTGAGATGGGCTCCAGGCGCCACACAACCTTGCATTGGCTGCAATTCCCATGATTACTGGTTTAAATGGTAAAAATATATCTGTTGTTCTACAGGTCTGTGATACATGTGAGTGCAGCTGTAGGCTTCCACATCCTCGGGCAGGATCTGACCGCTCGTAACACTTTCTTCATGAGCGACATCTCGAAGGCCTCATGGCTTCTGGGTCTGCTCTGGCCACTCCCTCTGATCTGCATCAGTGAGGGAGCCAAGCTTCGCGAGATCAGGTGGGAGATTAGCCATAAAGGCAAGAAAACAAGAAATGTCAGCTCTTCATCCTCCCTCGATTTTTTTACATTTCCTGGTTTAACACAATTCAACTTTATCCAGCACTGCTACATAACCTTTATGGCTTTTAAGGATTTGGTTTATTTGTCCCAAAGTCTAATATGGAACAGCAGGTAAGAGATTCCTGTCCGGTGCTGTCGGGCTGCCTACTGGCCACCATGGAACGTGCAAGTGCACGCAGCTCTCCATTGCTCCATTGCAGCTCAGTGTTCTGACTGTGACTGCTAACTGCCTTTAAAAAAAAACCCAAAAAACACTCCATCCTCTCTTGCAGAATGAAGGTGAGGTATCAGAAACGACAGAAGCTGCAGTTTGACACCAAGCTTGGAATGAATTCTCCCTTCTAGAAAAATACACGAAATGGGTAGCACATTCCTGAACGACTGACTGCCACCCACTTTGTGTTTTGTGAAGATTGATAAAGACCAGTTCCTCTTACATGTTCAGGCTGGATGGTACCTACAGAAATGTTCTTCCATCCTCTGTCTACCAGCTTTGGTTTAGTAATACATACTATAAGAATGTACAGCGATATACAATATACACAGATATACAAAGCATGGTACTGATTCCAAATGTGAAACTGAGCTGGTATGTATAATAAAAATGCTCATTGTTTTAATTTCGTAGCCTAATTTTTATGTTTTAATAAAATCTTAAACTCTTAACAGAGTGTTTTTGCATTTTGTCATCTTTAGGACACAAAATTAAGGCAAAACCTTAAGTGCCTTAGTTACAGCACCACTCATTTATAAACAGTTAATTCATATTCATATTAATATCTCATATTAATAATGTAAGTTATCTTTAAGTATTGTGGTTATCATCATCATCAGAATTATGCCTGAATAAATAGTTTCTGGTTGACAGGCCCTGATCATAAATAGACAGAAGTAGGCAAAGAGATTCTTATGAGTTCATGCTTTAAAATACAAACTGCTGCAAAAGAAAATCATAACTGTGATAAAAACATGCCATACAATAAGGTGCAGGAGTGTCCTTACAGGTGGCTGGTTCTGACTGTCCTGCGGCGTTAGCTGACAGACTGTCAGGTGGGATGTGAAGTGAGCCGGTACTGAGAAAGTAAAACAGCGTAAATACAGGGTGTCTTCTTTCGAAAATATACCGTGGCGTGGGAACCAGACATGGCGATCATGCTGATAATGAGTCACGGGCCAGTGCGAGAAAGACACAAAAATGGCATTTACTGATGTACGCCAGACGCTCTGACAACTCACACCTGGTGGGCGCGCACACACACACACACACACACACACACACACATACACACATACATTATTTACAACAAATAACATTAAAAATGATACATAACATTACAGTATAACACAATGCCAACAAAACACATGCAAATTACACACAGCTATTTACACTATGTACGTTTGGCACCTGCCCAGCATGCCTCACTGCCCAATGGGCACCCCCCCCTAGTGCTACACTAACTCCATCCAGGGGGGTGACCCGTCCCGGAACCCCCCCAAAGTCCTGGTATAACTATGGGTAGCGTTGAGCTCTCTGCCCCTGCTTAGCCCCAGGACCCCCACCGTCCTCCTCAGTCCCGGCTGCTGGAGTGCTTGTCCTTCACCCTGGAGGAGGATGCTCCAAGTGGGCCAGGTGGCTGTCCAGTTTGGGCAACTACCCCTTCTTCCTGATGGGGCACCCAAACAGAGTCTCCGGGCTGGAAGGCCTGTCTCTGGCAGTGGACGTCCTATTCCATCTTCTCTCTGCCCGTGGCAATTTCCTGATGAAGCTCATGCATGGTCCATACATGCTGCTAGCTCAGGTAGTCCTGTCCCAGTGTCACCAGCAGCTCTGACTCAAGGGCAGGCCAAACACCAGTTCCACTGGGGTCCGTGGTTCACGGCCAAACATGAAGGCAGTGGGGGTACAGTGGAAACGCTACACTAACCATCACTCAAAGGGTGAAGGGGGGGTGGCGTGAGTCTTTGTGATCGCCGGCTGCTGGCACACCTCGCCAAACGACTGTGCCAGAACATTTCTTCTCTGGTTGCTGCACAGCTCCTCTGGGCCCCGAAGCAGCAGAAAAAGACCTCCAGGAGCTTCATTGCCATGGTTGTGGGGCTCTGGTTGGTAACTGTGTAGGCCTCAGGCTACTTCGTGAAGTAATCTATGACCATGAGTATGTAGCGGTTCTTGGCCTTGGTGGGGGGAAAGGGGCCCAGAACGTCCACCCCCACACACTCCACATGGGATCTCACCAGGTTTAGCTGCAAAGGAGCCCGGGACTCCCGACTAGGACCCTTCTGAGAAGGTCCAGTGCACATACAGCTCCCCTGCGCTGTTCAGCGATGCAGCAGGTCCTCATGCTTCTCCAGGGTGCTCCATTGAGCCTTGGTCTTCAGGCTGGAGGCCAATATCACCTCCCAGCCTGGTCAACTGTCCTTGTCCAGCTAGTCCCTCACCTTGGCCAACACGGGGTCACTGTACTGCTCTATAATATAATATAATATAATCTGTACCGAGGCAGAGGGCCATCCCTGGCATATCGATGGCAGCCCCCAGCCGAACTAGCAAGTCTAGGCCAATGATGCGGGGTTCTGCGATGTCAGCTATCCACCTGCCCGGCTGCTGTCCGGGGTGAGGGCAGCGCTGGGGTGCCAGGTTTGACGCTTTCCGTTCTGCAGCCCCAGCGCTGGGGTGGATGAGAGGCTGCGGCCAGGAATTCCTCAGCTACCTTTGATGATTTCATGACTGCTACCGGCACGGCTAGATTCAGCAAGCACACATGCTGGTGCAGCCGTTCCGGGAAAACGCCCGCAGGACAGCATGGAGGGCCAGCTCATCCGGCACCGCTCATGCGGCACCGCTCATGCGGCACCGCTCATCCGGCACCGCTCATCCGGCACCGCTCATCCGGAACCGCTCATCCGGCACCGCTCATCCGGAACCGCTCATCCGGCACTGCCCGGGGAAAGTGAGGATAGATCCTCTGTGCGCAGTCCTCCAGCTTGGGCACGGATGCCCCCAGACTTTCGCCAGCGCTCCGCCACTGGTCCCTGAGCTGCTCCCTCATCTTCCCCTCGGACTACCACTGGCCGAACCGCTACTCCCGCGGGGCGATTAGGGCCCCACAGTTGCCCTGTTCCCCAGGAGTGAGGCTTCGGGGGCCCGCAGTGCCTCCCCTTCCACCGACATTGCCAAGTGACCAACCGTCTCTTCTGAGGACCAACCAGGTCAGCAGCTGATCCTGGACAAGGTGGAGTTCCAGGGGCATTTGTGGAAAAAGCACAAAAAATGGTGTTTACTGATGAATGCCAGTCACTCTGACAACTGTGCTGGGAACCCTGACTACTTACACGCCACACCGTGGGCACGCACTTATTGTTTACAACAAATAACATTACATGCTACATATGATATTAAGCAACAACACAGTTACACAACTATTTACATTATTTACACCTGCCATTAGTCCACAGTGCCACTGCACTGCCTTATGGGTAACCCCAGCGCCACAATATTATCTGCGAGAATTTTCTAGAAATTTAAAACTTGATAGTCATTAACCGTAACTAATAGGCGGTATGCATGACTTTATCTGAAGTACATACTTAAAAAGTGCATACTTATCTTAAGTACATACATAATTAAACCTCCTAAATGTTTTGCCAGTTTTTCCCCGGATTAAGAGAGGAGGATTCAGATATCCGACCGTCTTATTGAAACCTTGGGCTGACTGACAGCCCCCCTCTGGGCTAACTAAATGCCGCACAGCGGGAGGCGTGCGCGCAACGCTGCAAACCGAGGCTACCGAGGGAGCCTCGATCTGTGACACAAATCGACACCAGTTTTCTTAATGTGTCTGGGGAGCGTGGATTAAGAAACGTATTTACATGAGTAATCCGGTACCTCGTATGAATGCACTTTGTTGCTCTGGTTGCGGGACGGACTCTCACAAAGTTTCTGCTGTTTGAACCTAGTCTTCCAGTCCAGGCAAGGTAAACAATATAGTTCTAATGAGTTTTAATATTCTAATACACCAGCATGCATCAATGGCTACGGATTCTATTATTGTTTTTTACACTTTTTTTTATTGTGCGTGACATAGCTTTTTACTTTACGATATAGTGGTATTGGACATTTTTACCTATTATTTATGCGGTGGATTGATATAAGGTTACTTTGAGCTATATACTTTGGGCAGGGAAATTTTGCTGTACTGGACTCTCTTACAGAGCGTCGAAAGCACGTGCTACGGCTGTTTATAGTTAAGTTAATATAACACATTACTAAAGTTTCGCATTACAAATGTGTTTTAGTTGGTCTCTAATAATCAGTGCTATACAGTATGTACATCCGCTTTTAGTTAAATGACCTGAAATTGTCTGTAAATAATTATAGGAAGGAATCCCCATTTGTCATTTTTTCAATTCCTTTCTTTCTTTGCGTACTACTTTAGTCAAATATTGTTTTGTGTCTTATAAATGCAGAGGGTAGTCCAAATGACATACTCAGTTAGGTTTTTCTCTTACAATGTGTGCGCTCTCATTCTTGGGGTATCAGCGGAAAGTTGAGTCTTTAATGCCGAAGGAACAGGAGCCAAGCTGATCTAGTGTGTGGATTTTACGGGACCGCTTGTGCTGTACAAGTAACATCTAAAATGGATCTTAGTAAAGAAAAAAAAATTGGCAATAACCATAGTGGACGCATCATGCTATTTTCCGGACGCAGTTGTGTGCTGGTACCCCGGTCTGCACCCACATTAATGACACTGATAACCATTGTTTCCCAAATCGCGCACCTGCACGTAAAGCATTTAAATTTTTCTCCCTTCTTTCCGGCCAGTAAATGTAGTATTCATTGGTCTAGGCATTTTCCCCTCCGCTTGGTCTATTTTGAGCCGAGCAAGATTCGGAATTTTTTTCTGTAAAAACTGCGAACTTTTGGCAGCAAGAAGTGAGCAGACCCCCAGGCAGGGTCAGATTATATGGTGTTGCACTGGTGACCCATAACCATTACGAAAAACGAAATACATAGATATTTCACAAGATATGGTCGTTGTAGCAGGACTGTGCAGAATAACGCCAATATAGGGAGATGCTTCTTGGATATGAAGTGCGGTAATAGGAGTTAAGAAGGGCCTTTCCTTGTTAGTTCAGGAAAAGCATGTACTGTAAGTTAAATTTTAAGGTGTTTTTGTTTTTCTGTGATTGATTCTGGCACTGAGCTCTATATGCATTCCAGCATTGCAGGTGCCTCACTGCTTAACTGAGGAAGGGCCACGTTTTGTGACCTTGTTCTTAATACCAGTTTCAGGTTTTACTTTTTGATATCTGTATTAACTTTACTTTCCATTCACTTGGAATGTTTATCTATCTATCTATCTATATATCTATCTATCTATCTATCTATCTATCTAATATTTTTCTTCAGGCACTCTGTTTGGACACCTCCTTTCAGAAGGGCCCAAGCTACTTGGGTATTTCACAGGAGCTGCCCCTAACACTGTGTGTATACAATGGACTCTGTTCTAAGTGAGGGTAGTGGGGAACCCTGAGGCAGAATTATGACACAAAAACATATATTGTATTTCGCTCTGCTTTGACACCGTATAATATGACTCCTTTTGAGCGTTTCATCTGCTTGTTAAAACCTGCTCGATAAGACACAAACAATGCAATATATTTTCCATAGTGTGGGCAACTAATGCCAAAATACTATGGTATATATTATATTAAATTAAACACACTTATTTTACCTTTGAACTTTGGGTTTGTTTTTTCTTTTTTTTCTTTTGTGTTACTGCGTCAGTAATTTCCCTGTGAAATGATACTTGGGTGTCTACCGCTTTAACACCCCATACACAGTGGTGTAATATCACTGTCATGGTCATATTTAGTACATGCTGCTCCAGAATGTCTTCATTGTCCATAAATGTGGCACACAATTTTTAATTCATTGCAGACTCTAAATTGCTTATCCGCCATTGTCAGTACATGAGTGTTTTTGTGGAGATGCACGATATATCAGTTAATATATTTGTATCAGCCGACGTTCATTAAAAATAAAGACATCGGCATTGATCTGATGTGTTGGTTTTAGTTGATATTACCGGCCGATATATATAGCCTTTATCAATAGTTAAAGTTAGCAGTCCCAGAGCTAAAGGGATGCTCCGATCGATCGGCCGAAGATCAGTATCGGCCGATAATCACATTTTATGACTCGATCGGTACTCGTTAAACTTGGCCGATCTTAGGAACCGATCACAATTGATGACGTTAATGCGTGAGGACGTACACGATGAGTGGGGACGTAAATGTTTTGGCGCGCAGACATGTCATCGCCGGTGTGGAATTACTATGACGTTTCGAGAAACAATGAAAAATTCGCTATTTGCCGTTTATGTTCCAAACAAATCTCACGTGGAGGAGCATTGTCCAAAACATTTAATACAACGAACCTCATTCGGCACTTATAAGAACGAGCCACCGCGAGTCGATCGTATGGCGAATACGAAAAACTGGCAACTGCAAAAAAGGCAACGGTAACTAATAAAATAATAGTTACATTAGATATATTACTGTAAAAATATAACAAAGGCAACATTTATAGTATTACTTTATCTGAAAAAAAGTAAATGGTGATCAGACAGCTTACATATCAGCTATATAAGCTTGAAGCATCAGAATCGGCATTGGTATCGGCCGATCACCATGACAAAAAATCGGTACTTGGTATCGGTAGTAAAAATCCTGATCGGAGCATCCCTAAAAGACACAGCTGCTAAAATAATGGAGATGACTGCATTGGATGATCAACCGTTTTCTGTAGCTGAGAATGATGGATTCTGTCGGCTCGTTCATCACTCAGAACCTCGATACGGTCTCCCAGGTCACTGTTACTTCACTGATGTTTCTGCCTGCATTACATGATGTGGTGGCTATACACATTCATGAGATCTTAAGAACTAATGTCACCAACGTCAGTTATATTACTGATTTTGTGGAGCTCAGAGGTTACCGGTTATCAGTATCGGTAATACTAGACAAAAACATATAGGCTATTGGTATCCACAGCACTGCACCATGTATTGTAAGAGACAGATAGTGAACCTACGGCAAACATCCCAAAAAGCTCTTCTTTCCTGATTTGTGGACTTCTTAAAGGTTGTGAAATCCCCTTCACTTATGTACATTTATGGAGCTTTTCCACTGCCACTAAGAACCGAGCTGTACCTGAGCAGTACCGCGAACTGGTGGTTTTCCATTGTAAAGTGTGAGAGCTGTACCCGACACGCGCTGACATGGTCCTGCTCACTTGCAGAGCCAAAAGCGGGACCAAACTAGCTAGAGTCGTCTGATTGGTCAAAATGTTCTACGCATGGATTATCTGAAGGAAAAAAAGAGTATATTCTATATGTTATTCATCATTGGTAGTATCGCACATTGTGATGGATTGATGCATTCCCAATAACTCAGAACTTAAAAAATTCTGAACTTGTGCTTAGAAAAGTACAATAGAACAACTGAACGAAATAGATTTGTAATGCAAATTTGCAAATTTACGCAAGCAAATGCTAATTCCGCTAATGTTTGATGCTAACATAACACAGTGATTGTCACATATTGTGCTAGCGAAAATGAGCACACAGTAAAAAAACAAAAAAGAAAAAAAAATAACCCATAGTATATCATGATGTACATTGTGTGGACAGTATATAAGCGTCTCTTCGGTTTTATGTCACTGTTGCTCTCCAAACCGGCAACACCTTTAACAAGGTGATCCTTCTGCAGTGGAAAATCAAAGTGAGCTGGAACTGTGCTGTGGGTCAGTTCCTGTATGCCAGTGGAAAAGCACCATTAGGGTTCTGTCATGACTTCAACATATTCGGAGTTCATGCATTCTCATGGTCTCACTCTCACCTCTGCCGTTTGATTTAAGTCCTAGATCATGGAGGAGCCCTCAGTCTCGGCTACTGTATCCCTGATGTGATGATTTTAATGTGCTTTGTCCTGGGTGCCTCAGACTCACGTCAGAGTCATTGAACACCATAAGAAAACCTAGATGAGAGGCCTCCAGAAGTCTCACAAGGTCCACAAGTTAAGCTGCTAGAACGTCGTCACTCAAACATGCCAAGCTCCATAAGGCGGCAGGTGAAGAACGTGGTGAATAACTACTCAGAGGCCGAGAAGAAGGTGAGGGAGGCCACTTCCAACGACCCGTGGGGCCCACCCAGTTCGCTGATGTCGGAGATCGCAGACCTTACCTACAACATGGCTGCCTTTTCGGAGATCATGCGTATGGTGTGGAGGCGCCTCGGCGACCGCGGCAAGAACTGGCGGCACGTTTACAAGGCGCTGACGCTCCTGGAGTACCTGGTGAAGACCGGTTCGGAGCGGGTGGCCCTGCAGTGCCGTGAGAACATCTTGGGCTTGCAGGTGCTGGCTGAATTCCGCTACGTGGACCGCGATGGCCGGGACCGGGGCGTTGGCGTGAGGGAGAAATCCCGGCAGCTGGGGGCGCTGCTGAGGGACGGTGAGCGGCTCCGGGCAGAGCGCTCTCATGCCCTCAGGACCAAGGAGCGCATGGCGCAGGTCGCCACCGCCGTGGCCGGTGACAGCCTGGTGCGTTTCGGCCACGGATCCAGTCAGCCCAGCCTGCCTGCCGACTCCTCGGAGCAGCGTGGCCGGTCTGGAGGCTCGCCGGCCTCGTATCCGGGCTGTAAGTACACAACTCGTCTGGAGCCTTGAACGGTTCATGCATGATTTACAGGGCTGACGTTCGGGGTCAGGTGTGCCCCGGAGGGTCCTTCCTGCCTCAGTCCAAACTTTGGTATTCTCGAGAAACGTCTATGCTTTGTCATAAATATGAAGTACTGTGCACCTCTACATAATCCCAGCTTCCGCATTTTTAAAAAATAAGACACTGCAGGGGGATTAAGTGGCACAAAGGCGTGTGTAATTATTGAATAGTTGAATAATTATTCCATAACAGACAACTTCTTTGCCTTTTGGACTCCTTTGTTCATGACTGTGTACTGAATACCTACTGGTGCCTGGATTTGGGAAATGACCCTAAAGACACACTAGTGGGGAACAGCCCTGTGAGCAGCCCGAGACCGCCTTCCTGACCCTCACCCCATAGCCTTACTGGATGCGGCATTATGTGACTGTTACCGTACCTCTTGCCTGCGCTTACTGCCTTCTCGCAGCTGGTGAGATGGTGGAGTGATCACCGTGGAACGGTCTGCGGTTTCCTCTAAAGTGGGTTTGGTAGATTTTTTTTGGGATACAGTTAAAGTGGATGTCCAGGTGACCCATTTCTTCACAGAGGAGAAGTAACATTATTTCACAGTGTTTTGAAGGACATCTGTGCAGGAATAAAGATTATTAGAGGTAACAGGAATTTTTTATTTTTTGCCGGGATTTCCTGCCATTGTTCTTGAGTGGAAATGAAAAACATTATGTTGAATCCCTTTAGCCCCTCTGCTGAGCTCTTCAGTCACTCTTACCAGTGGCTCGGGGAAGGATGCACGAGTCTGCAATTTGACCTTTGAACCAGGAAGTGAAACCCTGGGTCATTTTTATGTTCTTTTGCAGTTTTAAATGTTTGATTTTATTTAGTGATAGACAATGATAAATATGAATTGCACATATTTATTTGCCAGTACCATTTCCATTTCAAATTTAATAAAATGTGGTCCACACTTAGATTTATGTTTTTTAAAGTTTATCAATAAGGGAATAAGGAGCATGATTCATGTTCCTGTTGTTTTTATTTTTCTTTTCACATCAGCTGTTACCAGCTGTAAACACCTTTAGACTGCTTATGTGAATAGATTTGCTTTATTGGGTGTCCTGCACTGTCCTCGAGGTATGGGGCCTGGTTTCCAAGGAAACAGCTGCCATCGCTCCCAGATGAGGCTCTCCTGCCCTCATAGAACCTCAAGGACTATGGCAAAATGGAGGGGCGATTTGTGACACATCTCTCGAGATTAAGGACAATTCGGGAGCACACATTTGGTATTACAGCTGCTCCTACATGCGTGAGCATGTGTTGGTCTCTGGCGCACAGCGAGCCCGTTCTCCTGTTTTCCAGCCCTCCCCCAGCGTGTGTCCTCCGAGCTGGAGCAGGCCCGGCCCCAGACCATTGGGGAGGAAGAGCTGCAGCTGCAGCTGGCTCTGGCCATGAGCCGCGAGGTGGCAGAACAGGTACGAGCCCGGAGCCCCCATCAGGGACAAGCCCCGGGGGCCAGTGTGTCAGGGCATCTTCAGGGGTAGGATATGTAGGCCCTGCCAAACAGCATGAGCTCCATCCTTACTGAGTAGCCAGATCTTTTAGCAGGGAGGGTTGATTGCTTAATTAGTCTTTGCGTTCTCAGGTATTATTCTAGTTGCTGGCTGTGCTTATGAATATTCATGGGCAGGTAATATATGCGAGTGCTTGGGCTTTAGTATGATCGGAGTAATTGGGAGTGACGCCCTCGATGCGATCAAACTGATTGGAATGTGAATTCGGAATCCCGGTGGGGATCGGAATGTACATGAATCTTTTTCGGCTCGCGTTTCCATCCACACCTCTGCTAAGACTGCCAGTGTGTGCCCTCTCTGTTCTTATTCCAGAGTCATAATCGGGACGTGTACACGCTGCCCATACATATTCATAGACATCTGCCTTCGCTCGCGCTCATTACGTCCAGCAGATCCGGAGCATGGGTAGAATATGCCTTTATGAATTTTGACAGAGTGATTGGAATTGCACAGATTTTGTCAATAATCTTCTTAATTTAGTGCATTGGTTTGGCTGCAGTACTGTCTGACTGCCTCCCTGCATGAATGTAAGCTGACTTCATATCTGTCACCGCATTCGCGTGCTGGACTTGCAGATGCTCGGTGACCTTTGCCGTGGCCTCTTTCTCGGGCTGCCTGGACCAACCGCAGGCTGGGCTGGCAGCGAGACACCGGACGTTTTTCTGGAAAATGTTGAAGGAAGACACAGGGCGCCGCACACAGTGGTGTGACATCTAAGTAGGCCACACTGTTCCAGATGTGTCCCTTGTCCTGATTTGATCTTATGAATTAATGTGGAGTGTTGTATTTGAGTTTTGGCGTCTGGCACAGATTTCCACGTGAACATAAGGAGACCTTTGTAAGGGATAAACCGGTGCTATTAGCTCCAGCTGTCTTGTCAGGGCCCCTCGACATTCATAGCCTGTTAATCGCAGGTTTGTTACCTTTTAATCAGACTCCTTTTTTATGCCACCATCTTATCGCTTCTGTTCTTTTATTATAGTTTATGCAGAAGGAATTATGGAACTTCAGCTGACCCTTTAGGTTGTGTTGTTTTCTACCTTGGTTACCTTGGTTACGTGTGAGGTAAACATGAATTAATTAAATTAGCCAGTTAAAAACAAGATGCTTAACATGTGAGGTTATGCCTGTTTTTCAGGGGCTGTTAGCCTTCTGTCATAGCAGCGAATTGTTGGGATGGACTCGCACCCGAATAACCCAGTTGGAGCAGAGAGGCCACTTTCCTCACCTTCTCAGATGTTTTTAACTTTATTTGCTTAATTAGATTCCTTAAATTTTTTCATTAAATAATAAAAAATCAAGCCTGTTGTATAAGAACTGTACAGTAACCCTAATGGGAATGGAAAACAGAGGATGGATAGATGGATGGATTGGTGGGTGGGTGGATGATTGGAGGGATGGATAGATTGATGGATGGAAGGGTGGATGGATGGATGGATAGATGGATGGTTGGGTGAATCGTTGGACGTAACTGAATGTTAATGGCGCCTCTGGAATGAGGAACAGAAGCGATGCTCGGGGTCAAAAGTGATGCTTGAGGCCCATGTCTCCTGCCCAGCCTGGTTTCCGGGTGACAATATGGCAGCTAGCGGTTCTGCTTTACCTGTGCTGGGTGTTTTCTTTTACCCAGGAGGAGAGGAAGCGCCGGGGGGAGAGGCTGTGGCTGCAGGTGGCCCAGGAGGACAGCAACAGGGGGTGTGCCACTGGGGCGGAGCCCGCGGAGAGCCACGAGGTACAGACCGTGTGCTGTGTGTCTCTTTACCACGTGAGGTACTCTCAGCTACAGACCGTGTGCCACTTTACAGCATCTCTTATGGGTGGTCACACTCCTCTCAGCGAGGTACAGACTGTGTGCCGCTTTACCACGTCTCTTGTGGGTGGTCACGCTCTTCACAGTGAGGTACAGACTGTGTGCCGCTTTACCACGTCTCTTATGGGTGGTCACGCTCCTCTCAGCGAGGTACAGACCCTGTGCCGCTTTACAGCGTCTCTTATGGGTGGTCACACTCCTCACAGTGAGGTACAGACTGTGTGCCGCTTTACCACGTCTCTTATGGGTGGTCACACTCCTCTTAGCGAGGTACAGACTGTGCGCCGCTTTACAGCGTCTCTTATGGGTGGTCACGCTCCTCTTAACGAGGTACAGACTGTGTGCCACTTTACCACGTCTCTTATGGCTGCTCACGCTCCTCTTAGCGAGGTACAGACCGTGTGCCGCTTTACAGAGTCTCTTTTGGCTGCTCACACTCCTCACAGTGAGGTACAGACTGTGTGCCGCTTTACCACGTCTCTTATGGGTGGTCACACTCCTCTTAGCGAGGTACAGACTGTGTGCCGCTTTACCACGTCTCTTATGGGTGGTCACGCTCTTCTCAGCGATGTACAGTATAGACCATATGTTGCTTTACCGTGTTTCTTATGGCTGCTCACACTCCTTACAGCTTGCGTTTCGCTTTTTTATTTACTTTTGCTTTATTTATTTAACTGGCTTTCCCAGTTGCACGTAGTTGCTTATATTTTATGCTGTATGAAAACACTATAGTAGCCTGGGTCATTGTCTCAAAGGTCCATATGTATTAAATAATTGCAGTTATTGCTGTTTGTTTTGAACTTACTCACTGGAATCAGACCCAAACGCATCAAAAATATCCAGAAATCCTTCAGAATAAATCCTGTCTGTGATTGGATGAGACCATGTGGGTTTTAACCCTGTCTGACGTCTCGAACCAATGCTGACACACCAAAGTATTTGCCTGGCTAATCGAGGCATTACGTACCGTGACAGCAGGCATATTCATGTCATTTGTGGTATGATGCAGCTTGACACACCGTAAACATAATTTGGTGTAAGTCACTTTATAGGGTGTCTGTTTGAAAGAGAGGTTTTAGAATTTGTGTTTATTTTTAACACTCATTTGAAAGCCAGTGGTGTTTTTATGCAGTTCAGTCTCAGTGCAGAACTTCATGATGTCAGATACAGGGTACAGACTGGGTGCGTGTTTCAGTATTAATATAAAATATTGTGGCATCTTTCAGTTGCTTTCCCTAGTCTGGCTTGTAGGGGGTCCTGAAGCTTATCCCAAGCAGCACAGAGCACAAAGCTGGGGTACTTCATGGGGGGGGTGCCTGTCCATCACAGGGCACATCCAGAGAATCACACAGCCAGTCCCCAGGTTACCAATCAGGTTCGTTCCCTAAATATGTATTTAAGTCAAATTTGTCAGAATAATAATAATACAGTTCATAATAATAATACAGTAATAATAATGATAATAATAATGATAATACAGTAATAATGATAATAATAATGATAGTACAGTAATAATCATGATAATACGAATACAGTAATAATAATGATAATAATAATAATACAGTAATAATAAAAGTAACTGCTTATGGAACTGTACTGCATCTCAAGCCGACAAACTGCATGAAGCTGTTTTCTTTAGTGTTACAAAGTAGAGCATGTGTTTGTTATCACAACCCATCGTGTTTAATATAATAGGCTTTATAGCAGTACGTTTGTAAGAATGACTGGTCCATATGTCTGACGTTCCTAAACCGCAGACTGCCTGTACTCTAATAATCAGTAATTCATAGACACTGATTAGCCATTTGCTCTTGGAAGCCCACACAACAAGGGAATGATGTGCAAACTCCAAACAGCAGAGCAGAGGTGGGACTTGAACCCACAGGAGGTGTGAGGGAGTGGTACCACTCAGCGATCCTTTGTAAGATATATAATGTAATAAGCAGCACATGGGCAGAGATCATGCTCTGATCATATCTCTCTCCGTCTCAAAAAGACTCACTGATGTGCATGGTTGCTTGCACTCTATTACTCCATCTTTTCTAAGCAATCTCTCTGCGTTAAGTTCAGCTTCACTGAGCAGTTCTCCAGCAAACTGGAATGTGAGGGAGACTCTCCGCCGCGTGAACAGCGGCCAGGATTTCTTGGCAGCGTCTCCAGCTAGATGATTGTGATTCTTCTGGACTGTTTTTGGATGGAAATCAATGACTTCTGCATGTTTAATTGAATCTCGCTGTTTTTGGCCCTTCTTTTTTGGCTGAATAACCCTTAATCCTCATAAATAGTCGCAGTTTAATTATTGAAAGATTTATTTTAGTTGCTGAAGTAAAAGCCCTTGATGCAGTGGAGGGGTTTTCAGCTCTGTGTTTCACTTGGTCCTGAAGCTGGTGAGATGGATACCATCTGCAGCCTTTCCTAGGTCAGCCCCCATACTAGGCCACGTGCTGCTGTTTATGAAATGTGGAGATCAGTTAGTGTGGACTTCTCATTCCTCGTGCGTCCTCCTGCAGATCACGCTGGTGGATGTAATGGATACGGCGACGGAGGGCGCGGCTGATCGGATGTCAGATGCTTGGGCAGTGGCACTGCCCCCTGCAGACCCTTGGCAAGCCAGCGGTAAGGCTTCTGTGAAAACGGTGACGTCCCCGTCTTGGGAAATAATCCCGCTGAATTGGCGGTGTTTCCGATGGCGATCCCTTCCCCTCGCCTTGTGTGAAATCAGCCCGCATGTCTGCGGTCTGACCTCCTTCATTGAGCGACTGCTCTAATAATAGCAGCGTGCTCAGCGTCCGATGACCTGTCCCTATTTAAAACGTCCTCCTGCTCTTGTTTGTGCGAGATACCGATCCCCAATACTGGGCAGCCGAGTTTCAAAATAAGAGTCTCACTGGTGAAGACCAGGAAAGTTCAAATTAATTTCCGTGTCATTTTTATGCACTTTGATTCTTTGTTGCACATTTCCTTGAGAAAAAAATAATTGACAATCATAAACTCACATTCAGTTGCAAATAGAATAAAGTAATTAGGCTGTTGCCATGGTGACAGAACAGCCCCCCCCCTTTCCAGTTCTAGCTTTCTATGCACCTTTATGTTCTGAAGGGTCAGCCAGGGTGGCTGTAAATCCCCATCTGAACCGAAGGCCCATATGCCCACATAGAAGGTAAAAGCCTTCCATTGTCCACAGAAAGTAGAGGCCATATTTATCATTGGTGTGAAAATTGTTTGGAGACCCCAAGGTCTGATTTGTGTATGTGAAACTAAGGGTGACATTTGGTTACTAACTGTGACATTTGCTTTGGGCCTCTCGTCATCGCACTTCTGCACGCGTGTCGGATCACTCCCCCTGGAGTGTCTCGTTTATGGTCCAACCCCAGAAATTTCGACCGTCTCACCCACAGCCTCCAAATCGGCTGACCCGTGGGGAGTGACCCCCGCCCACAGCACTGACCCCTGGGGGACCTCAGCTGGAGTGGCTGCTGACCCTTGGGGGGCAGAGTGTGGCACCTACCCCAAGGCCCGTGTCAACGGTGAGTCGCATGAGCAAGTTTGTCCAGTGGAGGTCAGACTGCTGTCATGTGGGATTAGAGGCAGAAATGCCAATATCATGGTGCAGAATGGGTGCAAGCGTGGAGATGAAGGTGATGATCCATTTACGGCTCTGAGACAACAAGGGTTCTTTGAGTACTTCTAAAAGCACACTGTGGAAATATATCAAAACAAAAGGACCACAAGGGGTCAGAAAACAAACAGGGACAAATAAGGAATTAACTAAAATTATGAAACAAAACGCAGCTAAGGAACGTGCAGGCACCTGTAACAGGACTGGGCAAACCGGCAGAGTACCAGCCACACTGTAACACAGGCACAGTGACTCAGCAAAGAGCGGAAAGAGGGCGGCACTAAGATACAAAACTAACAATACATGAGGCAGGGCACTTGGGAACCAATGACGCAATTAACCAATCACAGGAGATGCAAGACAACAAGTAACAGGTGGAGGAAAAACCACTGATGAACTCAGAACCAGGGAACTCTAACAATCACAAAAACTAGGAACACTAATCAATCCAAATAAACAGATGAGGCTGACGAAACTGGGAAAGGGACAGGAACCAACACACAAGCAGAACGCAATAAAACAAAGAAGAACCGGGGCAAACCAAACCCAAGAACAAAAGCAAAGACAGTGAAGCACCAGACTAGGAATAAATTGAAATATAATTACAAAACAGGTAAAGCTGGTCTCGAACCCGCAACTGAAGAAGTACCAACTTCCAAGCTGCACACTCAGGCCACTAAGCCACACAGCAGTCAGGGAAAGAGGTACAATACACAAGGGGAACATGAAAAATGGTGGCTAGCAGAACCGGCTGACCGTAATGGGGAGGAGGCACGGGGGGGCAGGGCTGTATGGGCACTGACCCTGACAACCAAGGAATATGGGAGCAGAGACCCCCTAATAAATGTGAGGAAGTAGGCGGTTTCTGATGTTGCCCTAAATGTGTAGGTCCGGAGTCTACGGGACCCCAGCCCTGCGCAGCTTAGCTCGCTCCCTGTTCCTCCACACCTGATTCAATTCAAGAAAAACAGGTGGTAATTGGTGAATCAGGTGTGTTTAGTGATGGGAAACCCAAAAATGTGCAGGGCTGGGGTTCCCCAGGACTGAAGTTGGAGACCTCTGCTGTAGGTACCTCATGTAGCTGTGGGTTTTGCTGTCACTGATATTCAGAAATATAAGATGTCTTCCTATTAGGCTGCCCTTCAAAACACCTAACCACAAAAACCAGTGCACCCATTTTTATGGGACACAAGATGAATCACTGCAAGGACCTACTGTTAGAGGCTATTCTGTATGCAATTTAAAATTTGATTACCAAGATATCTCTAATCTGAAAACCGCAGGAAACATTTTAAAAGGAAACTTGATCCTTTTAACATAACAGGTGGCATTTTGAAGTTTTGGATTTGAGAAATGGGTTTTCTCAGACTTTAAACAATATTAAACTGCTTTCAGATCAAAGCCCCATTTTGAACCCCCCCATCTTTTATTTTTATTTAAAACACCTGCTTTCTCTGCATTCAGTCAGAACCACGTTCTGACCACTAGGTGTTCAATTCATGCATTTATTGGGACCGTGGAAACAACCACCTTGCTTTTCATGGTGAACAGTTCTGCAAGGATAAAGAAAGTTGGCAGCTGTAAAGCTTTTAGGTAAATGTGGTCTGAAAAAAGACTCATGTTACTGCGTTATGGCTCAGAGGCAGGGAGCCGCTTTGAATGCAGAGTTAGATGTGTCTTCTGGAGCTATTGAGGATATTTTGATTTGCAGGAGATGGTAATTGCTTCTTGCCTTCTTGGACCTGTCTGGACCTGATGGATGTCCAGCAGGGAGTCTCTGGACCGGACGGCACGGCAGACACGTCCAGCAGCATGGTGAACCCAGACCCTTTCGTCAGCAAGCCAGCGAGGCTGACCCCTGTCTCCAACCCCTTTTTGGTGGCCGGTGTGTCTCTGCTGTCCGAATTCAGATGAGCTTGTTTGCAGCCCCATCATATACCGGCATAAAATGAAACCCCATTCAGTTTAATGGTATAATGGGAGTCATTTTCGTTTATTTTTATTTGAGATACATTTTTGTCCAAAGTGATGTACAAGTGAGACAAACAGCACATTACTTTGCTTTGAAAGAAAGTTGGGTAAATGCTTAGAGGATGGATGGATGGATAAAAGTTACAGTAGTTGGATAAATTTACAGTAGATAAAATGAGGTGCTGGTGTATTAAGGGCCCTCCCACCTTATTAGATGTCAGAAGTCGGGAATCTCATCTCTGCGTTGCCGTGGTAATCCGCCGCCCATCTCTTCATAAGTCTCTTTAAATATTGATTGATTTCTTGAGGCAGCACCGCGATGTGCCGCGCCTGGTGATGGCAGAGGCCCGCATTTTGCATCCTCCTGGCCAGAAGGGCCCGGTCCCACTGCGAGCCCCCCGCCCCCTCTCCCAGGCAGAAAGTTCCAGCTGGCTGCCATTCTCCATCAGTGCAACATTCATTTGTTTTGATTAACATGATTAAAATTATGGCCATGTTGGCGGGTCTGCGACGGCTCTGTTTTTAATTTCTCATTAAACGACGCGCAGCCGTCGTCTCGGTGCCACTCCAACCGGCTTATTATGAAATAAATGATTCTCTTCTCGCTGCAGATGCTGCCCAAGTCAACAACCCCTTTCAGGTCAGTGGGCGTCGGGTGCCCCCTTCGACCCAAAAGAAGCCCACACCACTGGTCACGTGTCCCAATGACCCGCCACCGTTCCCGTGCTCCACAGCGCCCCCTGCTGGCCCCGCATCCATGGTGCCCTTCCCGGGTGTGCCTGAGTTTGCATCAGTGGGCTTGGTGACGCCCGTCGTGGGTGTCGGCCCCATGGCTGCCATCCCTGCTGCACACAGCCTGCTGGGCCCAGGGCTGCTACCATCAACGAGCTGCACTACTAACCCCTTCCTGCTGGGGGCGGAATGAGCGCTTTTAATGAACCCGTCATTCTAGCAGTCTGGGGTCGTCACAGGGAGTACACATTTTAATAGGTAGAATATACACTTGGATATAAATTACCCTGTGGATATTTTTCAGAGGTTACACATCTTTAATTAATGTGCTAACTTTTATTCAGGAAAATCACAGACAGCAAGGTTGTGGTCCCCTTCCCTCTGACGTAAATCAGGGCTGAATAAGAAGAATTGTATTATCTGAACTAATTAATGTCAGTCTTATCAAGCCCTGAAATTTTTAGGTGATTTAAATCTGCTGGAAAGTCGTGCTTGCTAAAAAGAGTGAAACCTAATACACCATGTGTATTAAAGAAGAACTGGCTTTACACTCTCCTCAACTCAGTGAATGTTTTTAATGCTAAGAAAGAAAATCACACACATATTTTCAGGTTATTTTCAGGTTATTTCCTGTACAACGCATCTGTGTTTCGTTCCAAATGTTGTGGATTTGCATTTTTGCATTTTAGTATTAATTTTAAACAATCCTCTCTTTCTGTGTCAGTTTTCCCAATATTAGAAGTTGGATGTTTTCAAAAAAAAAAAAAATGAAACTGGCTCGGCAAAGGATTGTCCTCGATTTTAATAAAAACCTCTTGGGAACTGGAGAAATGCGACATTTCATGCGCAGGGCTGCATGGTGAGAGGCTTCACGGCGGGCTGATGGTGCCCAGCTGTGCACTTCTGGGTGGCAGGGGTACCTCCCTGATTGTGTGTGGGCTTTAAAGAAGCATGTGTCTGATCTGTTATACACATTAATAAAGTGATTTGGTCATTGACACGTTTTCTCTCCAGTGCTTTTTATTTGAGGCCCTGACCTCCATCTCCTGGCTGGTGGAAGACCTGGGCACTGCCTGTTGGTGTTTAGCGTGCTGCATTTCTGTCCTCTTGCACTTAATGGGAAAGCGGGGTGTGTCGATGAGCTGGTGAATCGATCAGCCAGCACTAGCCGATCAGCAGCCAGGCGTGAGAGTCATACGCGTCGTGAGGAATCCACACGCAGCCGAGCGTCTGAAGCCCCCCCGACCATCTTGTGTTGTGGGCTGTGAGCTGGGTGGTCTCCAGGCCCTCCAGTCAATTGCGTAAGAGTTTTTATCCCAATGCCAGCACCCAAATCCATAGCGTGTCTGTATTTTAATAAGTGTGGTGTGTCACCACCACGCACAACAGCAGCATCTTGTGGCAATCCTGGCGCTCTCAAATTCCCTGCTCCTCAGTGATTTTAAGGGTGTTTTATATTCACCAAATTAAAAGGGCAGCTTAATTCATCAATATTAGTCATGCTATTCAGCTAAAATAACCAGTCATTAAATATCCCCATTGGGAAATGCTGTGACAACCATCGATCTCTGTCGTCGTGACATTATCATGAATAGCATCACTGTCTGCAGATCTTGCATCATGATGTTTACTTGAATATGTTTATTTGCGTCTGGTTACATCATCTGTTGTGTTGTTTAACGTGAACATGTTTCCCTTTGTATTAGTATCAATTTTGCAGCTGGCATTCTGTGTATGCGGCGTTTTTAAGGCTTTTGAAGAAACTTGTTTTGTTTTTTTTAAAGATGCATATTTGCTTTCATACAGTGTCTGCTTTTTTAGATAAACGGGATCCTTTGTCTTGGATGAATTGCCATTATAGTTTTTAAATGTTAATGTGCAACCCACAGAGGAATTGTAATAAATGTTGGAAGCACACCGAAAATTCAGTTTTATGTTTGCTAACAATAAGCTTGTTTATCAACAATATGTGCACTTCAGATGTAAAACGTTCCCTGTTACTCCTTGTTTAATGATTCTTATTGTTCTGCATTCAGTTTATTGTTGATTGAATCATAAAGAGGAAAACAGGCTTCTCTATATATTGCACTTTTTATTGTTTTTATTTTAATTTGAGGTTTAGTACTGTAAATGGTATTGTTTCCAATATGTTCTGGAGAAGTTGCAGTGAGCAATGTAACCTAATAGCCTCGCTTAACTTTTAAGTTAATAGTTTATAAGAATGATGAGAACATCAAAAAAAGAAGAGAAAGTATTCTAAACAATGCAGAGCCCAACTGCAACATGTATCATCTTTGCCGAGCATTCCCAAGCTTTCCGAGTTACACTGCTAGCTGCACCAAAGAGCTGGAATTAACAATTTTGATAAATGAAAGATAATGACCTGTTAAAGCATTAGCGCTCTTAACACAATCTTAAAACATTATCATCTACATAGGTTAACAAAGAACACCTGCTAAAATATTGTGCATTAATGCTAAAGATTTGCTAAAGCGTTAGCAGTGTACATAACTTAGCACCATAACCCTCCTAAAGCATTAAAAATGTGTATACATTACCAAAAACTCCTACTAAAGTGTTAGCAAACCGTTTACATAAACACCAACCCCCTGGTAAAACATTAGCAATGCATATGCAGTACATTAAAACCACACTCCTGATAAAGTGTTAGCAATGTTTTTACATTAACACCAACCCCCTGCTAAAGCGCTAGCAATGCATATACGCTAAGACCACGCCCCTAATAAAGTATTAGCAATGTTTTTACATTAACACCAACCCCCTGCTAAAGCGCTAGCGATGCGGATACACTGACCACGCCCCTATAATAA